GCGGGCCGCATAAACATTGATAAGGGGCCGTATGTGGCCCGCGGGCTGCAGGTTGTGCACCCCTGATTTTACAATATTGAAATTTTTAATTTGTGTTGTCTTTTGTCAGGTTTACTTTAATGAAAACTGATAGGAAAACTAGCACAAGAAAAAAAAATTTTATTATCAACCTGGTGTTGTAATAGTTGTTGCTTTCAGATTTTAGTCTTTAATACCCATTGTTTTGTTTTTTTATACATTAATCTTTGTATTTAGTAAAATTTATTTAAACTGTAAATTGAAGTACTGAGTATATGAAGTACAGTAGAGCGTCGTTTATCCAAATCAATTGGTGACTGGGGTTGTTCGGATAACTTATTTTTCGGAAAACCGATTATGTATGAAAAAATATATTAACCTATCCCATGCTGAAATTTTTCTCTGTTGTGTGTTGATTTGCGTTGAATTTTTGTTGATGTTAAGCCTAATGTAAACTTTTTAAAATAATAATCATGGCTATTGTATCGTTAAAAATTATTTCTTTATTTTTTACAAACAAAATAAATATATTGAAAAACATAAAAACAAAAAAAATTATTCTTTAGAACAGGGGTGTCCAACCTGCGGCCCAATAAATGTGTAAACAAAACCGACAAATTTTTTTATTTATTTCAATGGCATAAACTCAAAAAAAGACTAAAAAACTCAAAAACTCAAAGCCTTAAACCTTAATACATATTTTATTTTTGAATGGAAAGGAAATATTTTCAAATACTTGGGAATGTGTGAATGAGGAAGGTATACTAAATAAGGCTGTAGTTGTGACTCAAAGGAGTATAGAGTCAAATTCGGGGAAAGGAGAGAAAGGCCAAAAGATAAAAAGTAGTGAGAAAGATTAAATAGACCTTCTGTTATGCCCATATTGATCCTTAATTTTCCAACCTTTCTCACTTCTTTATCTTTTGTCTTTTCTCTCTTTTCCGTGCTTTGGATCTATAATCCTTTTGAGTCCCAACTCCATCTTTATTTGGTATTCCTTCCAGTGTTGCAAGATTTGGCTACTGTGCCAAATTTGGCTACCCTTTTAATAATTTGGCATAAAAAATATCATTTGGCACATTGGCTAGTTTTTGAGCTACATATTATTTATAAATATATTAGTTAAATAAAAATGCACTTTAAAATGGTGTTTCGTCATTTTTTATTAATTAGAGACTCAAATAAAACAAATATTTGTGTTTGTCAAATAAATGTTTGTTTCTCCTTTTTATAATAATTGAATTTATCTATTTCTAAGTAAAAATTGAAAGTGTCTGTAGAAGTAATTTTTTTAAAATATCCTTTTTCGTAATAAAGTTTTAATACTTATTACTATAATCTCGACATGCCAATCCATAAATATACAAGTATATTTAAGGATTTGGCCAAAATATACTTGGGCCACAAGTACAGTATATATAATATACTTGTGGCCCAAAACTCCATGACTTCTTCCAATGTGGCCCAGAGAAACAAAAAGGTTGGACACCCCTGCTTTAGAAGTTAATCTAGTATCAAAAACGTTTGATTCAGCACAACACACAGTCCTCAGAAAAACACCACACAACAACAGTGTCAGTACTGCCAGATAAAACATACACAACAACAACAAAAAAAATATTGGAGTAGTGCAAGATATTGCCAAAGATTGTAGCACCACAGCACTAGCGAAAATTTAAATTTGACGACTGGAACGCTTTTGGATAAACGACATTCTACTGTATCTTGATACTCGAACAATTTGGTATTTGAAAACAAATTCTGAAAAAAGTTGCTCGGTATTTGAATGAACAAATATGTCTCACTAGAAGAAATTTTTGATTAATAACATATTTTTATTTCATCATTCATAAAAAAATTCTTTTATGATAGAAATAAAAAATATGAAAATGTTGCTGATACTTCTGATCAAGATCTACAAAAGAGCTGAGATAATGATGATATTTTGTACAAAGAAAATGCCCTCATTTAACTAAAATTAATATTAATGCGTAATACAGTATTTTTAATTTTGATTGTTAATTAATTATTGATTGCTTTAATGAAGATATTTCTCTTAGTAATGAAAAAGAATAGTAAACTTTTGTAACTTTTGCATTAATTGTTTGTTTTGTATTGCACAGATTTGCATAACATAGCACTTTTTTGGAATGTAACTACCATGTTATACAAGGAATACCTGTATTTAAAACTTCAACTCTCAAACTTTTGCCTTTTAAAATGTTTTAATTATAGATTGTGGGAATGAATATCTTCCTTAATTAAGCAATTAGATGATTACAATTATTTATTATAGATGCACACAATATCCAAGCTATTTCTGAAATATTTATTTTAAGTCTTAACTCAATACTCATAATTTTTGCAAAGATTTTTTTTTGTTCTGCTTTAAAAATATGTAAGTGCTGGATTGGTGAACTTTCCAAGTTATGTGATGCAATCTGTTGATGGGACTTTAACATTTGTATAATTATATTTCATAACAATTGAATTGCATATTCTAATTGCAACATACTTTCAAGAAATAATGAGATAATAGAATTTTTAAGAAAATTGTTGATGTTTATTAATAAAATTATAACATATATAGATTATAATAATCTTATAAATATATTAATAATTTTGAATCTTCACAAAGCCAGTTATAACTATTAAATAACACCATAAAACCTTCAAAAAATACCAGCCCAAAAATATATATTTGTGTTGTGTTAATTTTTTTTAGATGTTATCATCAATGTTAAAATTAAGTGATTTTTTTTGTTGTATACTGGTTATAATGTTTACAGTTTGGACAATTTTAAAATATTTAAATTCTGACATCCCGCATTCTAATTCTTTTGAACATTTTTGACCTGATTCAGATCTTAATTGGATCAAAATGTTTGTCACAACCTATTTATTTTAAATATATTTTTGTGCTGGTTTTTTTATGTTTTATGATATTTAATATAATAAAATAATCCACAAGTTAAATAACTCTCTCTCTCTCTGGAAAATAGGCCTAACTAATAGATTAGCCCTTTGAAAAATATTAGAGACAGTAATGGCATTTAATCATATAACCTGTATATTCTTCTAACTCTGTGTAGCCTCATGTATGTTATAGGTAGTCAAGTAATAAATTTTTATTTTTGTTATGCTAAACCTGTCTCCTGTCTATCCAAGGACACCTATCGAACTTGCTCACCCCCCTCACCACTTGATAGAAAGCCATCCAAACGACAAAGTGAGCAAGTTTTACCAATTTGACGTGTAAGTGGCAATTTGGGTACTGACCGTGTGCCCTCGTGATCTCTCACTTGTAGAATCAGGTGACTACATCATCATCCAATGATCTGGCTTAGAGATATATATAAAGTAAAGTTCAAACAGAAATCAAATTCTTAAGTTTAATTTGCTAAAAATTTGTATAGCACGATAGTCTGAATGTTACAGAGTAACATTAGACTATCATGCTATACAAATTGTTACGTTGTTATCAGATATGTTATCATATATCAGATAGTACTTATATTAAAATGTTGCACTGATAATTTAAATGTCAAGATAGACTTTCAACTCTGTGATAAAATACTATAGTTTTTAAAAATATTTAAGTTTTAATAAACTAAGTAAAAATTCTACTTTAAAATCTTTCATGTTATCCTCTTAGTTTATAGAAATTATTAACTATGGAAATTGAGGATAGGATGATGAACTTTGAAAATAGTATTCTTTCTTAGCTTATTAGAACATTTTATATATATAATAATTGACAACTTTCTTTTTACTAAACTGTGCAATACTTCATGCAAGTTATTCTAAAAGTCATTTCTTCTTATATACAGTGGAACCTTGCTTAACGAGTATTTTGCATAACGAACAAAATAAATTGTAAAAAATACTCGTTATGTGAAATATTGCTCATTAAGCGAGTGATGAGAAGAGGGGAAGTCCTGCATTGTGCACGTGCTCCATCAGTCTGTGTTTAACACTCATTCTGCTAGCTTCTTAGTGTTGCTTGTGATCAAACATTTTTCCAAACTTGTGTTCACACACATGCGTATAAACATCAACAACCATCGGCAATTACATAAACAAACCAAACAATATGCCAAATTCTTAGGCTATGTAAAGGCTATAATTAAATATTACAAATTAATTAATTTGACTAGAGGTAGGCAGTACTGAAGAATTTTCTTTGAATAAACATTATACATAAAATAGTTTTTTTTTTTTTGCATGGAACGCATTATCATATTTTACATTAATTTATATGGGGTTTTACTTTGCTTAACATGTGTTTTGCATTATGAGCAAGATTATGGAATGAATTATGCTTGTTAAGCAAGGTTCTAATATATTTCAAAAGAAGAGTAAGTACAAAGTAGCTTTAAAATGAGATTTTTCTGTTTTAACAGAATTTAAAATTTAAAAATCACCCCTGTTAAATTTAAAAAAATTAATTTTCAAATTTAACAGGAGTGAAATTCATATCAACACTGGAAGAAGAAATGATTTAATTTTAACTTCACTTTAATAAATAGCTTTTTTTAATTGTACATACTATATTTTAATTACAGCCTATTGGAAAATATTTTGAATTAACACCTGGCAATCAAGAGAAAATGCCAGAAAGTGCTTGGAAGTTTTTATATTATTTTCCTGCCTGGACTGCTATAGTCTACATTGTTCAGTTGAAAGGTAGTTATGCTTTATTTCAGAAGCCAAGTACTGTTTGGGATGGTAAGTTAATTATATATATTATTAAATATATATATACAACATTTAATATTTCTATTTAAATATTAAATATTTTAAACATAATATATGAGGTATATAACACAGATCTACATAATTTCTAATGCCTACAAAACTAGTTTAAATATAAACCATACTCCAATTAATGGATATATTTAGTATTAACAATTTCACCAAACATCTTAATCCAGTAAAGAACAAAAAATTAATGACAAACTAACATTTTCAACCTTTTTCAAAGGTCATCAGGTTTTAAAGATGGAATATAAATTGGAATAGAAAACAAAATTTAAATGTATTTGGATAGATATGTTGTCACATTTTACATGATAGATGTTGAAATAAATAAATTACATCTGGACAACAATGATTTTGTTTTGGGCTCAAAATTAGCATATTCTTATGTATTTTCATCTACTGAATTCAAAAATCACTATAAAAATGACTGATTAACTCTTGCTTTGGAGCAGCGGTTCCCAACCAGTGGTTTGCAAGAGATAAAACTATAGTCCGCAAAAGATTTAAAACTTTTATTCATTTTAAATTATAATTCAAAATGATTGACGTAATCTAAATAATACAAAATATATGAGAAAGGTTTTATAGTAAAATTTGTAAAAAAAATGTTTCATTACAAAATAGTGCATCTTCAATTATTTCAAATTTTTGTTGGCATTTTTCCTGTAAAACTCCTTAGATCAACATATAATAAAATTACACTCTATTATAGAATGAATATTTATGCAAACATGACAGCCCTCCTTGACTCAATCAATTATGCTGAGCACAAATGGAAAATATGTGTTGATCTAAAAGTCATTGCTGTACTCTTAGGAATGCAACTGGGGTATACTAAATACTGTTGCTTTTTATGTATGTGGAACAGTAGGGATAGGAAATTACATTACATTCAAGTGGACTGGCCTGCAAGAAATATTGACTCTACTGAGAAAAATATCGTTGCCTAGCCTCTCGTGGACCCAAAAGATGTTCTTCTTCCACACCTTCATATCAAGCTGGGTTTAATGAAGTCTTTTGTCAAAGGTAGGAACCAGAAAGGACAGGCATTTAAGTACTTAAGAGACAAATTTCCTAGATTAAGTGATGCAAAGGTTAAGGAAGGTATTTTTGTTGGACCACAAATTCGAAACTTGTAAAGGATCTCACGTTTGACCAAGTTTTGGAGGGAAAAGAAAAGGAAGCTTGGGAAGCCTTAAAGGGAGTTATTTGTGGATTCTTAGGCAACAAAAGAGACTGTGACAATACTTCTGGAAAAATATCATCAACTCGGATGCAACATGTCCTTCAAAATCTGTTTTCTCCATTCCCACCTAGACTTTTTCTCTCCTAGTTGTGGAGCTGTCAGTGATGAACATGGGGAAGGATTCCACCAGGATATTTCTGTATTGGAACAAAGATATCAGGGCCATTGGAATGAAGCAATGCTTGCAGATTACTGCTGGGTCTGTGTGTAGGGATGCACCAGAACTCACTCACAAGAGTCAAGCCAAAAGAAAACGATCTCATGAAGTCACCACATGATTCTCTTCACACCAAACCACCTGCCAGGTATTCTTCTATTAATTTAGAACTCTTAGAATGTTACTGTAATTTTAAAAAAATTCAAAAACACTTTCAATGTTGTTAGCAAATGTAATTAAAATGTATCGTTTTCTCTTATGCTGTTAAAATTGCCTATTGTATACCACCGAAAATAGAGCTAATAAAAATTTTTCTTTGTCATATTCAATTTTCTTACCCCAAAATTAGTAAGATTTCACTCATGAAATAAAGGAAACATTCGAAAACATTTTTTATTGGTGCCCAGTGTTATTAAATACAAATTAAGTTAGATAATAGAAGGTAAACAAAAATATGGTAATTAAATAAATGCATAAAATAAATAAATAAAAATAAATTCAAAATAAACATAATACAAAATAATAAAGTGCAAAAATTAAATCAGTCCATAAAAGGGGTAATATGATAGATAATGTTTATTTGTTGACTTCAGACAAGGTCTTCCAGGCATGTGGCAATGGTGCCATGTCCTTGCAGTTGACTGCAGTCCTTTTTAAGTATAGCTCTATATATGAGGGGATCCTCAAATAAACCACAGTTCTTGTCTGGATGGCAGGGTCCTTCTTAGTACAAGCTTCCCATTCTAGGTAAGTGTTCAATGAATCCATTTGCATCAGTTTACCAGATGTTGGTGTGAGAGATTGTTTTGCAACAGTGAACTTTTTTCAGACTTGTTATCCTATCTGTTTCTATGATGTCAGAGGCAATGTACATTTGAAATTTGTTTCTCCAGTTCAAATGATTAATCATAGTTTTTATCTGGAAGTTTTGTGAATGTTTTATCAAGATTTGTGGAATAAACATCCCATGTTATGGTAACAGGTGACTGGGTTTTCCATTGTGACAGCTCATTTTTCCAGCCAAGATTGTGATCTTGCTCTTACATAGCATGAGTAATTCAAGTGTTTTTGTGATGGACAAGTGCAGGCTGTTTTTTAAAGCTATATCTGCAACCCATTGCAGCTGTCAAATAGACTTCAATGGTTGGTTGCTCACTGACAAGAAAATCATATTGGACAATACTATCTATAGTCCACCAACCACACAGAATTTTCTATTTGTGAATTCTGGGCTTAGGTATGTGCAGTGTAGTGCACACATATTTACTGGATGACTACTAATGACATGAATGATTGAGATTCCTATAGACAATCCATTTTTCTAAAAAATTACATAACAGAACCATTTACGGTGTGATCACGTAAAAATAAATAAAAAAGAAAAGATCGATAAACAAACGTTTTCAAATCCCATCTGGGCTCTGCTTCAGGTTCCAAACAGTTTCTAGATATATGTTCGATATCTATTTAAATGACATGTTGACCGAACGTATTTTTAACAGATATCGAACATCTATCTAGAAACTGTTTGGAACCTGAAGCAGAGCCCAGGTGGGGTTCGAAAACGTTTGTTTATCTATCTTTTTACGTGATCACACCGTAAATGGTTCTGGTACGTAATTTTTTAGTAATTCCGGTGTGATGAATAGTGAATTATCTTTAATCCATTTTTCATTGTACATTCAAATATCTGTCAAAATATAATTCATTCTTTGAAAGTAAGGAATATGAAATAAGCAAATTACTAATACAGCTGATTAGTTATGACATGAAAACAATAATGAGCAGGTCACAAGCTACTAGAGTTTGTTGGTGGTAGTACATCTGAAAATCCATTAGTATAGCTTTCAAACTTTGCTTAGGTAATGTAAATACAAATGAATGATTTTGTCACATATATTGGAACTTTCCAAACTTCTGGCTTCATTTAAATTAACAACATTCAAAAACTGCATGAACTTGATTACTTATACTTTGTCATTTATAAAAGTAACACAATCGTACATTATGATAAATGCTATTAGAAGAATTTGTTTTCATGAAACAGATCTGTCCTTTAGTTTTATTTCAGAAATTTATAAATCATGTACAAATATTCTGTAAGATGTGATTTTTGTGTTGTATTCATATGTAATTTTTTAAAATGAAAGCAACAAAATAAACTTTTTAAATCCTAATATTATACAAAAAAATATCAAAGAATTTTTATAGTTTTAAATATTTTATTATAAACTTTTTATGATATTGTAAGATTAATAACATGTAAAGTAAAGTGAAAATAAAAATAATATATATTTATTATCTATTCTGTTTTGCATGCTACTTAATGGTGGAGAAGAAATTCTATTAGGAATTCTATTATCTAACATCTTGCATGGTGAAAGATTAGAATCAGTTGGGCTATATATTTCTACAGATATCTGATGTGTAAGAATTCTTTTCTTCACTAATTTTTATTCTATTTATTCTTAATTTCTCTTTACTCTTTTGAATAAACTAATCCTGTTTTTTGAAATTTAATGTTTACATTGTGATTCTTCTGTTGGGGACATGTTGAAAAACACTACTGATTTAACAAATAATTATCACAATAATAATAATTTAATATTTTCCAGAGGAGATGATCATGATTATTTTCATGAAAAATCTGTTACCTTAAAATGTTTCATTTTTTATACTTGAATTGTTTGCAATATATATAGGAATAAGCATCAAAAAATGTCACACAGGTAAACAGAATCAAAGTGTTATTTAAGACATGATCTATATTCTACTCATGATACAAGTCTAGTCTTAACATTTTATGTCAGCAAACTGGAAATGCTGCCAATATTTTTCTTTTGCTTCAAATCTTTTTAATCATTTAAAAGTTTGTCATAACCTTCATATATTTTGATAGCAGTTATATATTTAATAAATATTTTTCTAATTACTTTTGTGTTTATATTTGTTTGAAATAAGTGATAAACAACTAAACTGGATGCCAAACTGATGTGTCAAAAATTATCATAATAACCAAAAATCCACAAAAAATTAAAGAAACAATTGAAGGTGATCTTTTGCTTGCTATTCTGTATACTATACAAAAGAACAGCTTTAATCTGTTCATTCCTCAAAAACACTAAAGATCCAAATGACCAAATCATCTCCCTAGAGCCTTCTCTATTTCTTTAATGAATAATAGAGTTAGAAACAAATTACAATACATAGGGGCCATTGCATGCTCCTTAAACATATGAACAAAAGAAACCATGAAGAATCAATTAAAAAGGGTCTTTACACAACAGCATGAGCTATGTTTGCTACTGCAATCAGGTGTAAGTCAACCTAGACAGTGCACAAGTACTTCATCACATCTGAGAGAGAGCCCATCTAAAACACCTGGAAAGAATTGAAATTTACGAAGTCAGTAAAAATGCAAGAGTTACAAATTATAAAGAAATGGACTCATCATATGCATTGAAATCTATCTTTGAAACAAGCACTTATTTATTGTGACATCATCATAAATGCCAGGCTGCAATTTTTAATCATATTTTTAATTTATTTAATTTAAAATATATGCTCTCCACCTGAAATTAGTACTGTAGTGTACATCATACTTTTTCATTAGCAATGGAATTGTGCTGATCATCTAACTTTTTTCAGGGGAAAATTTTTGAATTGAAATGACTTGTTCACATCCGAAGTTCGTATATAGTTAATCAGGACCTCCTGCCCCTAAGCTTTCCATATCTGGTCTTCAATTTCATTTATCTAGCACCATTCTTGAGATTAAGGAAAGACAGACAAATTGATGAGAGTGGGAATTTATAGATCTACAACTTTTTCAAATTGCAGCCCAATAACCTAAAAGCTTCTATGATATGTAAGCATTATCATCCAAATGCATGGCAACTGCAAATCAAATAAATGTTTAGTTTAGAAATAAACAAAACTACACCCTTATAACCAGCAAATGAACAGATAATTTTAATGAATATAAGCATTTTCCTCTGTTTTAAACAGACATAATCAGGCTACCTGGAATGAAAACAAAAATAAATGCTATGTTCTATTTTTTTGAACATGCATTTGATTTTGTTTTCATTCCATGTATCCTGATTATGTCTGTTCAAATTGGAGGAAAACATTTATTTTCATTACAATTATCTGTTCTTTTTCTGGTTATAGGTATGTAGTTGTATTTATTAGTATGTTAGACAAGTATAGATAGAGGTGGCTATATTCTATTTAGTTTAAATTTTGTAAATTCTATTTTATATTCATTATTAATTTTATTGTAAACCTTACGACGACTGATAAAATTGGCTCAAAATGTTAGTTTATTGATCAGTGTTTTTTTTTTCTGAATTTTTGTTTTGTTGATTTTTTTTTTTTTTGAAATGAAAATGATTTCTAATCAGGATAATAATGGAGGCATATCTGGTTTTGTTATAGTGCAATTTTATTTTTGCCTTTTAAGATTTATTTTCTTAAAATAAATTTACACTTTCATGTACAGTACTGGATATTAACATTAAACAAACAACAAAAAGACCAAAAAATCCAACATAAAACTAAAAATTTAATATGAAACAAATGTTTTCAGTAATTTTAAACCACCATTGTCAGATTAGAACTGATTTTCAAATATAGAATGTGGCTTGTAATGGAATAAAATTTAAATTAAAGAATCCATCTACTGGTTGAATATATGTGGCACCAATAAGGAAGGAAGACTTTATATGAAGTGCAAAAATAACACCGTATGTGGCTGTTATTGTCATCTCTATCCAATCAGCCAATGAAAAATTAATGTAAATTTTGTTCCATTATATGTATTAATCTATATTCAAATGTCATTTCTAACCAGATGATAGTGGTTTAAAACTACCGAAAATGTTTGTTTCATGTTAAATTTTCAGCTTTATGCTGGTTTTTTGTATTTTGCTGTTTGTTTATTCTCTTAATTTCATAAAGTAATTTTTCAATTAAAATTTTAAATTCTGTAATTGAAAATAAGTAAGGCCAACCTTAAGTAGGTAGACCTTGTACTTAAATGAGATTTGTTATGAACATTTTGGAACATTAAGATTACTTTCAGGTGACACAGCACACTGATGAAAATTGTCATTGTTGAAGGTTTAATAAGAATATATCAAAGTTCATGAAATCACTAAAATAATAATTATTCTGAACAACATTTTCATGAAATCAGTTCAGATTTAAAATTTTGTAGTTTCTTGTTGGTTCCAAAAATGTTTATTGGGCAAAAGCAAAAGAATTGTAGATTAATTGAAAATCTCTGCCATTACTAAGATGAATAACTTTGTGGAAACCATTATTACAGGAAATGAAATATGGATTATAGTCCACTCCAGAGTCAAAAAGAAATTTCATGACATTGAAACATCATGATTCTCAGCTTCCAAAAGATTCAATTCATTCACGAACTTCCTTATAAGGAAAACATTCAAGAATTGAAACATTGCAAACTGCAGTTTTGCAGTACTTTAGAATTCTTGGACAGGAAAATTACCAGGAAGGAATGTTTAAAATGCTAGGATAAATGTCTGAATGCTTATGGGTATGTGTGGAAAAGTAAATATAGTAGCTCCTCGTTATAAATGCATGTAGGAAGACAAACCAAATAAGCAATATATTAGATGACATGATATAACCAAATTATCTATCCAATATTTGCTAAAGCACTTTTATATTTGGAAGACAAAAATTAACATACATCTGAATGAACAATATAATGAGGAGCTACTGCATTAATGTGTGGTGTTTGTTGAACTTTTCAAGATTTTGTGCAATAATTATGTTGATGTAATTTTGATAATTTGTGCTATAATTATCATATAGCCCTCATAAACATTACCAATGTCATAAAAGTTTAATTTCTGTAGATATGTGAAAAGAATCTTGTTATACAGTATACATGTAGTGATATATTGATATGAGATTGGTTTATGAAAACATATCAGCAACTAAAGTTAAGATTTCTAATATATTATAATTTTTCTTTTAAAGTAGTAGTAATTTTTAAATTTATCTAAATATGTAAAATATCATTTACATGATAATAAAGTTAGGCAAATTAATCAATATGAAAGTAAGTCAAATTTATAGTTTATTATATTTGAATTAATATTAAAACTAAGTTTATATAAGACTGTCTTTCAGTGTTAGAATGAGATTAAGACTGTCTTTCTGCATTAGAAAGACTTTATTTGATTTTTATTATATTACATAATCTTTTGCATCAAGTGCTTTAGGAATCAATATTAAAAATATTAATGTAAGAAAGTATGCTAAAAATTATTTTAAAATTTATCTTACATGTTTTCAGTCAAAATTGCTATCATTTGATATCCTTTATTTAATGTAATATAATATATAGTATTTTTTTTTATCATAATTGAAATAGTATCATTTTCAGAGCACAACATTAAAGTTCCTCATTTTGAGTACTCATATATATATATTGTAAGTAAAGCGTAAAGCAGTAAATTATTTTAAAAACAGTACTAATTTCTGGATTTATTATAATAATATGACACTTGTGAGTTTTTAATAATAATATAATTTATATCTTTGCTCATTGTTTTATTTTCATATGAGAAAGTAATATATCAATTATATATCTAGATAGTCCATTCAATAAATAATGCTTCCATGCAAGTGTTTTATGTAGTTGTTGCCTAGCAAACAATAGACATCAAATGATTCTTTGTTTCATTAGCTACATTTTAATGTGTAATAGGACATTGAACTTGTTATAATTCAAAACTTGCATTAAAATTTTAAAATCTATCATTCACATTAAAATGTTCAGTGAAATTAATTCTGCAATATTCTAAAAAAAAAACATAAATAAATAAAATGATTTTATTAAAATAGTAATACAAATAAAATGTAAATATTAATTGCATATACAGTGGAACCTCGCTTAATGAGCATAATTCATTCCAGAATCTTATGCGTAATGCAAAATACTCATTAAGCGAAACAGTTTTTTTCATATAAATAATGTAAAATGTGATAATGCATTCCATGCCGGAAAAAACACTCAAATATTTTATGCATAATGTTTATTCAAAGAAAATTATATAATATACATTGTTAAGGAGTGTGAATCAGCTTCATTTTTTTTCTAGCATGGAATGAATCAACCTGGAATGCAAATTCGATTTGCAAAAAACAAAAAAAAATATCACAGATAATATGTCTGATAAACACGCCAAATGATATGCGAAATTCTTGGGTATGCAAAGGCTATAATTAAATATCATAAATTAATTAATTTGACTAGAAGTAGGCAGTTATGCTGCCATCTTGTATTAAATTTAATAATTATAAATAATTTTTAATTTAGACCTTTTTAAAATTTAATTTGGAATTGGTCATTAAATTTAATACAAGATGACAGCCATACTGCCTAGTTCTAGTCAAATTAATTAATTTCTAATACTTAATTATAGCCTTTACATAGCTCAAGAATTTGGCATATCGTTTGACATGTTTATTATATACTGGGCAATGGTTGTTGATGTTTATACGTAATATGTGTGAACACAAGTTTGGAAAAATGTTTGATCACGACACTAAGATGCTAGCGGAACGAATGCTAAACACAGACTGATGGAGTATTCACACAATTTGGGACTTCTCATCGCTCGTTAAGCAAGTCATTTTTTTTTTACAATTTGTTTTGCTCGTTACGTGAGGTTCCATTACAGTAATAATAATGAAACTTTTATTATATTTTTAAGCTACTAATAGGTCATTAACATTTTTAACATATTGTCTAAAGTTTAAGGCAGCTCACTTGCCATCAAGCAAGCTGATACCCTGGCCAATCTACCACTGGCAGTGTCAATGTATGTCAAACAACAATCAGTTAAAGAATTTTTAACTCATGAAAATGTATCTCCCAAAAAAGTTTATACAAGGTTAGTGGCAGTTTATAGTGCTGAAACTATGGACAAAACCAATAATTCTTCAACATAACAAAGTTAGATCCCCACTATTGCTTATATATCAGAAGCCATACAAAAACTTGGGTTTGAAGTTCTTGATCACTCTCCTTAGCCCAAATTTGGCACCTTCAAACTTTTGTTTGTATCAACTCTCAAGAGGCATCTAATGGAATTCATTTCACCTATAATGATGGAATAGAAATGGTTCTGAGGACAACCTGAAGATTTTTATAAAGATGGTTTGAAAAACTTGTTAAACACTGTCATATCTATATCAAACATAAAGGGGGTCATGTAGAGAAATAAAATGTGCTGATTAAATTAGAAATATTAGCTTTTGTTCTTGTTTTGGTTTCAGTGTAATATGTTATTACTTGAAGATTTGCAAGCATTACTTATTGAATGCCACTTTGTGTGTGAAGATAGCCAGACAGACAAAATTACACTTGATCTTACCTAGTCAGTTTTTATTCTCTGGTGATAGTTCTTAGGTTTTAAAAAATTGATTAAAGAAAATTTGTTTTGTCCTGACTATTTAAATGAGAATAAAATGTTTGCATTAATTTTTATTTATTTTAGATTGGAATCTTGATTCACCATTGCCATTTGATTTTTATGTTGTATATATGATAGTGTGCAGCTTTTATGTGCACTCCTTATATGCTACAATCTTTGAAGATGTATGGCGAAGAGATTCATCAATGATGGTTGCACATCATATTCTAACTTTAATATTACTTGCACTCTCATATAGTTTAAGGTATGTTTGATTTTAAATAAGCTATATAGAATATTTCTTCACTTTTTATAATAATTATTTAAATAGAAGATGTGTTAAAAAATAATGTTTCTTTTGTATAATAACTGCTGAAATAAGATAGGACTACTTTCAATATCATTTATTAATAAAACTGCTAAGTTACAAAATTTTATTATTACATGCCACTTTATAAAGAGATTTTTAAAAAGACGTTGATTAGGAGTGGTTACTTAGTAATTCTTTAATGATAAAATTCATGTAATAAAATTACATCATCTGATAGCATTATGTAAGAGGACATATTTCTGTACATTATCCTATTATTAATATCTACAACAGTCTTTACTTCTACTGGAAAATTAATAATTGTATGCTGAAAACTTTAGGCTGTCTTACTAATTCTACTTTTCATCAATCTTTTCTATGATTATTTGAAATTTTTAATCATTTGTCATTTAAAACAATAATCAATTCTGTTTATCTTATATGAGAGCTTTTTTCTCACATTTTACTAATATAAAAGCCATTTTGTGTGTGTAAATGCCTTATAACTCCTGCAATCCAGATGAAATTTTGGTTATATTTGTTTTATGTTCTGACAGAAAGTATAGGATATATATTTTGGAGAAATATTAGCTATAGAATAAATGTTTTATCAATTTTGGATTGGCGATTGCAGTGATGTCGGTGACCACACAACGTTCATGCTTGACGAGAGAATTTTTCTTAAGTTGCATTTTTAAATATTTTGGCAAATGGCATATTTTAAACTTACTTTATTAAATTTAAACTTTAAAAAATGACAGCCACATTGTATTACTTCTATAACAAATTTTTTTAAAGAAAGCTTTCCATAGTGACCATGTGATGTTCTACTATCCAATTTGAAGTAACAATCTAACAAACCTGTTATTTAGAAAGTCTTATTGCTCATTTAACTAATGTACATACAATTCATCTTTGTTTTATTAACATGGAATTTAAAAAGATTTACTATTTTGTCAGGGGAATGCCTAAGAGAAAGTGTAAGAGTAAGATTGGTCAGGCAAATTCTAGATCTAAAAGAATAAGAATCTAGGGATGGGGAGTTGGGAGTAGTATATTCTTCCGCCAATATACTACTCCCAACTCTCAAGTTGGTGTTTTTTTTTTTAAATTGACTGACTCCTGATTCCCATAAAGCAATTTGACTCCCAACTCTGACTCTCCATCCCTGGAACAACTGAGACCTGTGAAGGCCATGAAGTCTGACTTGAACAACATCGAATAAGAACGTTGCTGATTTGTGATTGTGATGCTTGCAGCCCTTGACAGCTTTGTCAAGGGCTGCAGAAACAGCATCACAATGTCAAACTCAAGTATAAATTACTTAATTTGTAGAAATATTAGCAACTTTTTGAAATTTTTGAAATATCTACTCTTCTCAATTCTTCAATCTCTTTCTCATAATTGTCATGCTTAACAGAAGCATTTCTATTATATATGTTAAGCTCAAAGACCGAAATCGCTCATTGAGTGAAAAAAAATGCCCATGAATTAAAATTTACATCGTGGAAGTTGTAAAAATGGCCACAATGTGTTGTGGCTAACTCAAAATGACCACAAAGTGAAATTTGTGTTGTGGCTTTCATGATATTTGACCACTACATGTTGTGGTGATTAAGAAAAGCCATAACGCATTCTAAACATTAGCTGATGCAACCGCGATACAGGATCATAGTGGTTTGTAACCACGATGCACAGTTGTTTGTAACTTTAAAATATGGATTATAGGCTCGAAACATTTTTTATTTACAATTTTTAATGCCGAACAACATTAGTTCTACAAGTTTTCCTAGAAATTTAATTTTCATACTTAAAAAAATTTCAAAGAAATAAAATATATGGAGAAAAATACACATTAGTTTCTTTTGTTTTGCTAAAAAGTGCTAAAGGTCTAATTACATATTTGTGAGTGCTTGATATACTATACATGATAAAATAAAAATCAGCTGCTAGAGTTAAAAATCACTGTGCTATGGATTTATTATGGTTAAAAGCCACCACACATTCTGGATGTTAACTAATAACGAGTGATGATAAGAAAATAAAACTTTCTTTTTCATTATGATTTATTTATCTTCAATTATCTTATATATGCAGTTAACAAAATTATTCACCATGTACAGAAATTTAACTTGGTTACTTTACAACAACAATTAATTATTCATGCATTTTATGTTCTTTGAGCAACATTTGCATTTTTAACAATAAAGTATCTTTTACAGTGACACATTATAAACCCTTGCTACTTCCAGATGTTAACATGGATGCTGAGCGAAGTGTTAATAAAGTTGAGGGTGTGTTCTGAATGATGATAAAGTTACTGTAAAAATTGTAAATTCATTACAAGCTTAAAGTTGATTAAGACTTTCCTTGTTTCCTAACTGATAGAGACCTGATGGATTAATGCTCATAACAACAGCTTAAACATTTGTGGGAGCTGCACGTCCCCTATCAATGTTAGACACCCCAGCTAAAACAATGGAACCAATTTCAACTGCAGAAAATTACTCTAAATTGAGAAAACTCTCCAAGCTCAAGCTCGAATAAAAAAAGATGAATGGTTCTATGATGTAGATCCCTGTACTATTATTGTGAAATAATAATCAGAACAATTCTTACTGTTTTTGAAAATTTTAATAACTAAAATGTCTTAGAATTTTTAGGCTTTATCAGAGGTATTAATTTACATCTGATATGGAGAGTGCCAATGGCTCAATGGCATGAAAGTTGAGAAAAGCGAAATTCTACTCAGGTGTAATATACAGTAATACCTTGATTTTCATTGACTTTGGTTATTGTCGGTTTTGGATTTCGCCAATTGTTTTCTGGTAGATTATCAACGAAAACCAAAGTATCACTGTACAGTGTACACCCAAGATCTAGTATCAATCTGCATTATTTCTTTAGCTTCTGTTGTCCTATCCTAAAATCTTCCAGTTATAGGGAAAAACAGAATGATTTTAGGCTAAAACTTTTTCCAGTGAAATTTGTGGAGTGATGAGTAGTAGCATCAGAACACAGGGTAGTTTTACCCTAGATTTACCTTAAATATAAGACTACCCAAAACATTACTCTGAGAGGTTGAAATTACTCTAGAAAAGAGTAATTATCCTAGAAACAGCAGCACTGGTCAAGAATGAATACAATACAAACTCCGCAAGTGTTTGCAATGCACCCGTTGACAAGTTACAACCTATCCTTCGTATCGTGGTTGCATCAGCTAATGTTCAGAATGCATTATGGTTTTTACCACAACATGTAGTGGTCAAATATCATGAAAGCCACAATGCAAATTTCCCTTTGTGGTCATTTTGAGTTTGACACAATGCATTGTGGATTTTTTTTACAATTTCCACAATGTGAATTTCGCTTTGTGGTCGTTTCTTTCGCTCAAATGATTTCGGTCTTTGAGCCTAACATATATATAATGATCTAATTCACTCTGAAGATCTTGATGAGATTATCAGAACTCAGGATACCCAACTTACCTTTTGACATTCATATTCTCAAATTCATTACAGTAGGTTGCCAGATTGCAATTATCTAGCTTATTGGTGATTTGATCAGGTTCATAATGAGATTGTCAGTTTGAATTAAAGTGAAATACAGTAGAGCATCGATTATCCGACCCCCCCCCCAATCAACTGTCACATTGGTTAACCGACCGTGTTCTAGTCGGCAAATCCAAATGTCCACTAGTGATGCAGTGCTAAAATATTTGGCTATTTCTTGGCTACTTTAATATTAAATCTTTGGTGTTTTAGCTGGCAACACCGGCTTGACCATGAAAGGGATGCCAGTATTTTTAAACAAGGCTTAATTTTCTAATTATGAGTGGTTTGTTTTGAGCAATAAAATAATTTTTAACAATACAATAGCAAAGATTATTTTTTAAAGATTTTTGTTAGGCTTAACTTCGATGCAAATTCAATGCGAAGTAGGTTAATAACGATATACTATCAATAATATACTAATTACATGGGATATACTATACTAATAATGTATTTTTTCATACTTTTCGGTTATCTGTTTTTTCAGTTATCCGACCAACCCCAGTCCCCAATTGAGTCGGATAATCGATGCTCTACAGTATTAGCTTATTACCTACATAGAAAATTAATAAACTGTGTTTAAAAACTTTCTGAATTGTCTCCATTATATAACTAAATAGAAATTTTATGATAATTAAAGAAACATTATTTTTCTTTATTATTCATATTTTTTGTAGATTATTTTTTATTTCATAATAAATGTCAAAGTATATTTTAAAACATTATTATTTTTGAAAATACAACCAATTTTTGTAATGATGAAAAAGTCAGACAAAAACTCTAAAAAAGGTTCTTTTTGCAAGAAATTGGTGCATTTCTTAAATAATTTTTCAGAAAAAATTGTAGGACCATCATTGTCATAAATAAATTGTTTTATATGTCAGTCTGTTAATTAGCAATCCATGCTAAAAATAGATCATTTTTAGCATCAGTTTCAATTTTATTTTTATTAATTAATGTATTTACAGATTTATAATTATATATTCTATCCTATGATTGTGCTTAAATTGAAGTGATATTTTAATTTTAAAAATTTTTACATTAATTTATAAGTTCAATGTTGCTCAGCAAATTATACAGTAGGCCTACTAAATTTTTTATATGATTTAATTTAAATTTTCCAAACAATGTAATAGTAGTAATTAATTGGTTCATAATTTGTTTTATTTTGTGTTAATGTGCTATAACTTTGAAGAAATTTTATGTATGTCCAGGGAAAATTTTGGGTTCAAAAATATTCTCCATCTCTGCAATTCATTTTTAATCAGGTCAAGGTCCTTTCATATCTTACCTAAATCAAATACTGCTTCAGTATAGAAAACCTGGATTCCACATTATCCCTATTGACAAGATAGCCTGAATAATTTTGAAAAGATTAGTATGTAGAAATGCAGGATTTGTTTTAAGAAGCTCTTTGAATCATTGTTAGTTTTTGAATTTTTTAAAGTAGTAGGGCTACATTTAAAGTCCAATTTCCATTATTCACAATTCATCAAAATTAGAAAAAATACTGTTTACTGAATTGTCACTATAATTGTTCAACTATGTAGCCAGCAGCTAATGTTTGTTTGTACTGGATCATATATGTTTTATAACTGTTATAAATTTAATAATACAACAAATTGTTTGATAAATTTTACAACTTTTAACATAAGTCATGCTGACTTGATATTAATTTTAAAATAATACATCTGTAGGTTATTGTTGGATTATTTGTGATGAGACTATTGCTTGAGATCAATTGCTTGTGAATTTTTAAAACCAAAATCCTACAGTTGTGGGTATTCACTTTACCACTGAGATATGTTGACTCACCACTGAGGATAATGCTTTTCAGTAATGTCTTGTCTTCATTTTTGCACTACATGAGAAACTTGATGATATTTGCTGTAAATTAATGCTTCAACAAATTCCAGAAGTTTTCTGATTACACCTTTAAAAATACAGCAAGTACTCACTTATTATAAATAGGTTTTTGAAAACTGATGTTGAGCAAAATGAGATAATACATTAATTACTACAAAAAACTGAATGTACTATAAATAATTAACTCAAAATAAACCCAAAATCCAGTAACAAAAAACAAAAAAAAAATTTTTAATTACTGAACTGATGTTTTTGATTTTAAATATCATCAGGTTTTTAAGATAGAACAGAAAACAATTTAAAAAATACAATGATTTCAAATCATATTACATATCACATGCACAAAGGTTGAATATTTTAAATAAAATATCTAAAGAAAATAACCTAAAATAAAAATACTATGCAAAATAAATATAAATAAAAAGTATGTTAAATAAATGAGTAAACATAAGATAAGAAGGTTTGTTGTTATTACACTTATCAATTTTAACCTCCTTTTCTCATAATACTCTGTTCTTTGATCCTCATAATGTTTTAGGGGTGAAGTTTGTGACTAAAGTGAATCAAACTTAAAAGGTGGCCACACACATTAAGGAAATTCTTTGAGGAATAACTGTGCCGGCCTTGCCTTGAGGAATTCCTGTTCATGTGTGGGAGAAAACTGTACAGTTTCGGTGGCCTGTACAGGCTGCCAGAATAGAAACAAAAAAACCATTTGATTTTCATGCAGAGTTTTGGACTGTGCAGGCCAACCGTATCATGTGTGCCGTCATGTTGTTCAATTGTGAGAACCATGTCTCATGAATGTTTGGAAGAATTATTTTCTATAACCTTATTAACTTTTATTATTTATAACCTGAAAAATTAATTTTTCAGATTTATAAATTATTTTCAGATAAAAAATTTTCGAGTAAATTAAAATTACAAACAATTTAGAAAACTTCTCAATTCATTTCTTCAGTTTTCATAAAACAACTTGATACTCTATATTATTTTCTTTTACATTTTAAAAAATTTATTGTTTTAATATCCAAGTAAATTAAAACATGACAACTTAAAATATTATTTTAACAATAAGACAAAGTTTAATAAATTTTTTTTAATTATTAAATTGTAAAATTTATTTGCGATAATAATTTTTACAATTTGTACTAATATCGGATGTGGTTGAGAATTATTAATATATATTTGCTTTTTTTTTTCTAATATCCAAATAAATTAAAACACAACAATTTAAAATAATATTTTAACAATAAGACAAAGTAAAATAGGGAAATGGTTATAGATATAAATAATTATTATATTAATCTTTTAATGACAATTTTTTTTATTCTAGATGTCACAAAATTGGTCTTCTAGTTCTTATTTTCCATGATATAAGTGATATACAATTGGAATTTACGAAACTTGTAGTTTATTTTAAGATACAAAATGGAAAATTTATTATGGCATATGAAATAGTAGCCAATGTTATGTTTTGTGTATTTGCAGTTACATGGTAAGTTTTATTAAATGTAATTATTGAATATTTAATGATTTTGATGATTTTGCTGAAATATTAAGAATTTTTTAAATCTGAAAAAAAAATTATCAACAATGAAAATTAATATGTATTAAAATCTAATTTTGTTAGGAATCAAAGCTGTTGTTGTTATATATATTATATATAATATATTTATTATGTATGTACAGTGGTACCTCAGGTTACGAACGACCCAGCATACGAAATTTTCAGGATACGACATGAAATTCGAACATATTTTTGCTCCACGATACGAACAAAAACTCACCATACGACGTTACATTAGTTCGCATTTTTCATTTGTTTTTCTTACTACAGTTATTTTTTTAAATGTATTACTTGGCTTTAATTTGAGTATGTTTTTCGCGTTGGAACGAATTATTTGGTTTTACATGTAATCGTATGGGAAAAGATGATCCACCTCACGAAATTTCCATGATACGATCTCAGTTTCGGAACGGATTAATTTCGTATCCTGAGGTACCACTGTATGTCTCTTTAATCCGACATTAAGTTCGGTAGACTATTATTACAGCTTTCAGGTTAGACGCTTCTTTTATTGTTTCAACATATGCATTTTGGACTTATATAAATGTTAAGTCCCTCTTCAGTGCAATACTATGGTTTTGTCTTCTAAAACCACGGTGTACAACGGGTAACATTGGAAAGATTTTAAAATACAGCCATTAAAAACACCACAAATACATTTTCCAACATTAATACAGAAAACCTATTGATAGTCTATCAAACTTAATGTTGGATTAAAGAGACATACATACATAGTACATAATAACAGCTATCCAAAAGTGATATTTAGAATAATATATTTATATTTGTATGTGTATGTATTAGTGATGGGACATTCAGTCACTGAGAACTTTGAGCTAAAAAATGCTATTTTGAAAGTTTGGCCATTTGATGGTTTACACATACTGCACTCAACATAAATGAATGCCTCAAGGACAATGAATTAATTTAATATTCCTTCCAATAAGGTTCATGTTATAAGAGATATAAGGTTGCTAATATTGCTGCAGGAGTTTCACAAGCTGAATATGATTCATTGCATTGTTTTCTACAAACCTTGCAACTGCTCCTTAAATGCTATCCATGTATGAGTGTGAAGGATATTATATTCATATGCAAATAGATAGTTGAATATTTTAATCACTTCTCAGCAGCATTTGCAAAATATTAGGATTATCAGAAAAAATTCAATCTGCCACAAAATAATTTATTCAAGACATTCAAACCAGATGGTATTATATGCTTTGCAGAATATCTGAGCATAAAATAGTCCTTATCTCATACTTCAGTGATCATGCAAATTTTGTATATTTGGAAACAAGTCAGTGGAAAATTCTAGAGAAATTGCTCAAAATACTTAAGCATTTTCTTGATTTGTACAAAATTTTTAAATAGTAGAGAAGCAACTGCTTCTGCCATAATTCCAAACATAAAAATGACAGATCACTTTTTTGATACAGAAGAATAAAGAACTGTCTGGTAGACTAAAATCCACAGAAGCTTTCCATGCTGATAATGTTAAGAATAGATTTAGCAGTTACTTTAAGGACAAGAACTTCATACTAGAAACTTATTTAGATTCATGTTTCCAAACTAGTTTCTTAAAGATGAGTATAATCAGAAATCTGAACGAGCTATTGAGTTATGACTTTCTGAAGATATATATGATAACAAATCTGTTACTGATAGTTCTCAGACCACAGACTCCTCTGACCTATCAGCTGATAGCAAAAGTGAGGATGTTTTTCTGAATTAAAGAAAATGAATTATCAAGAGAGTGACAAAATGCCAAATTGAAGACGAGATTAGACCACAAGAGTAAAGAGAGAGAGACTGAAAAATGAAATGATGAGTAAATATGAAGCTTTGAAAAAGGAAAATGGGATCCATTAGTGTGGAAAGTAAACAAGGATGGCTTTCCTAATTTGACTCTTCTTGCCAGAAAATATTTGAGTATATCTCCTCTTCATTTGAAAGCAAAAGAATATTTAGTGTTTATGGTACAAATATATTCACCAAAAAGAAACAGAAAGCAAGTGGAGACATGAGAGATGTTGCTGTTTTTATATTACAGCTTAAGAAAACGGAGTTTCAAATACGAAGAAATTTTTATTTGTTAGTTAAAAAATAAAACCACTGGATGTAAAATTATTACAACCCCAATGTTTCAAGGAATCTTCCTATTTTTCCAGGAAAATGTGTACACAACTTTTTAAGAAAAATTAACCCAACATCACAGATGATGTATACATAATTTCTGTAAAGTGTTAGTTCTTGGAATGATTTTTACATCTTATGGGTGTGGTTTTATTTTTTAACTAACAAATTATATATTTGGGAATTTATGGTTTAATAGTTATTTGCACTTACTTGTATTTCCATTATGTTAAAGTAATAAATAAATAGTTCATTTTACACTGAAAAAGTTTCTTTTTAATTAATAATGAACTACTTTTGTATGAACTATAAACTAATTCTGCAAATATATTTTATAAATTTTTATTTGAAACAAAAGATAAAAAATTTACTGTATGGTAAATTGTTTCCAAATGTACCCTTGTGACAAATAATGAAATGTTTTCAACATTTGTAGTCTTGCATTTCATTGATTAAGAACTTTGAGTAAAAGGGAATTAGTTGTAATTTCCTTGAGGGTAATACGTGTTGCAATACACTACAGGTAACCCCCGTATAACACAGCACTTCTATAGCACAGATTCACTCTAACACGGTTCGAGAATTGGTACCATCCCCCGTATAACACGGTACTTTTATAGCANAGGATGCACTGTTCTACAATAATTGAACATTTCTACAGTTTAAGGAATGTAAGTTTATCTGGTAATGATTTTGATAAACATTTAAAAAGATTGTTTACAAATTAAATTAGTAAAACCAATCTATTATGAGAGTCATCATCTTTAATCTCCTTTTTAAGAGACTGATGATCTCATTATGATGATGATGATGATAAATATATGACTGTATACCTTGAAAGAAGTAATAAATCAACATTTTTGAAATAAAATGTAAATATTAATTGCATATATAGTGGAACCTCGCTTAATGAGCATAATTCATTCCAGAATCTTATGCGTAATGCAAAATACTCATTAAGCGAAACAGTTTTTTTCATATAAATAATGTAAAATGTGATAATGCATTCCATGCCGGAAAAAACACTCAAATATTTTATGCATAATGTTTATTCAAAGAAAATTATATAATATACATTGTTAAGGAGTGTGAATCAGCTTCATTTTTTTTCTAGCATGGAATGAATCAACCTGGAATGCAAATTCGATTTGCAAAAAACAAAAAAAAATATCACAGATAATATGTCTGATAAACACGCCAAATGATATGCGAAATTCTTGGGTATGCAAAGGCTATAATTAAATATCATAAATTAATTAATTTGACTAGAAGTAGGCAGTTATGCTGCCATCTTGTATTAAATTTAATAATTATAAATAATTTTTAATTTAGACCTTTTTAAAATTTAATTTGGAATTGGTCATTAAATTTAATACAAGATGACAGCCATACTGCCTAGTTCTAGTCAAATTAATTAATTTCTAATACTTAATTATAGCCTTTACATAGCTCAAGAATTTGGCATATCGTTTGACATGTTTATTATATACTGGGCAATGGTTGTTGATGTTTATACGTAATATGTGTGAACACAAGTTTGGAAAAATGTTTGATCACGACACTAAGATGCTAGCGGAACGAATGCTAAACACAGACTGATGGAGTATTCACACAATTTGGGACTTCTCATCGCTCGTTAAGCAAGTCATTTTTTTTTTACAATTTGTTTTGCTCGTTACGTGAGGTTCCATTACAGTAATAATAATGAAACTTTTATTATATTTTTAAGCTACTAATAGGTCATTAACATTTTTAACATATTGTCTAAAGTTTAAGGCAGCTCACTTGCCATCAAGCAAGCTGATACCCTGGCCAATCTACCACTGGCAGTGTCAATGTATGTCAAACAACAATCAGTTAAAGAATTTTTAACTCATGAAAATGTATCTCCCAAAAAAGTTTATACAAGGTTAGTGGCAGTTTATAGTGCTGAAACTATGGACAAAACCAATAATTCTTCAACATAACAAAGTTAGATCCCCACTATTGCTTATATATCAGAAGCCATACAAAAACTTGGGTTTGAAGTTCTTGATCACTCTCCTTAGCCCAAATTTGGCACCTTCAAACTTTTGTTTGTATCAACTCTCAAGAGGCATCTAATGGAATTCATTTCACCTATAATGATGGAATAGAAATGGTTCTGAGGACAACCTGAAGATTTTTATAAAGATGGTTTGAAAAACTTGTTAAACACTGTCATATCTATATCAAACATAAAGGGGGTCATGTAGAGAAATAAAATGTGCTGATTAAATTAGAAATATTAGCTTTTGTTCTTGTTTTGGTTTCAGTGTAATATGTTATTACTTGAAGATTTGCAAGCATTACTTATTGAATGCCACTTTGTGTGTGAAGATAGCCAGACAGACAAAATTACACTTGATCTTACCTAGTCAGTTTTTATTCTCTGGTGATAGTTCTTAGGTTTTAAAAAATTGATTAAAGAAAATTTGTTTTGTCCTGACTATTTAAATGAGAATAAAATGTTTGCATTAATTTTTATTTATTTTAGATTGGAATCTTGATTCACCATTGCCATTTGATTTTTATGTTGTATATATGATAGTGTGCAGCTTTTATGTGCACTCCTTATATGCTACAATCTTTGAAGATGTATGGCGAAGAGATTCATCAATGATGGTTGCACATCATATTCTAACTTTAATATTACTTGCACTCTCATATAGTTTAAGGTATGTTTGATTTTAAATAAGCTATATAGAATATTTCTTCACTTTTTATAATAATTATTTAAATAGAAGATGTGTTAAAAAATAATGTTTCTTTTG